ATTAACTTCCAGAATTTCAAACAGAAACACCAGCTCCAAATTAAATTGAAATAAAAATTGAAGCAAAATATTAGAAATAGATCACAACTAGGGAAGTAAATGCACAATCATTGTTCATTTCGTTTCAGACGGCAACTGGCGCAGTTTTGATTTTATCCAAATCAGGATTATCTATGATTTTCTATACTATGCAAATTCATTATGGCTAACTATTAAATGACAACATCTGCATGAACCTTAGCATGAATATATGCAATCTGTCTAAAATTATCAAATCTCTTAATTTTCAAATAATTGTCGTGACAATTTTACTAATGATAAAATTTAATAGAAAAACACTACAATGAATGAAAGTGTAGAACAGAAATGTGGCAAGGTATTATTATGCGGAACAGCTAGGTATTGGTGTACATTGCCTTAGGGTGTACTACCTCAAAACAATTTACCTTTATACAACAATTGGTGATGTCCATGACGGATGTAGAGATAAACAAATTTGGAGCTGGTGTTTCTGTTGGAAATTCTGAAATTGGAAAATATTCTTGACCAGTGCTTCACCTCTCCTTCGGAGAGGTTCGCATTGTTCATGTATGAAAGAATCAATTTTATTGTTTTTCACAACTTCAGCAAAAGAAATTCCTTACTTCAATTTGAAACCATCAGATACCACTTTCTACTGTTGAATGTTTGATCTTACCTCTCAACGCTTTCTTGAAGGGACGGCAGGCCATTCCCGACCGTAGAGCTCACAGCAAAACAAAATGAACAACCAACTTTTCGCAAAAACTGCTCATGTTTACTCAGTGTTCTGCAGTTAACATGATAATGATTGATAACTGCCCATTGACTTTCAAAGGACAGATGAAATAATTTCGTGACAGACAGAGAAACACACACACGCACACACGTACCGACAAATAAGCGCTTTATTATAAGTAATGATCTTCTTATACTGGTGCTAAGAACATTGACACATCCAATTGTGATCTATATGCCATACGCCATGTTTTGGGGCTCAATTCGCAGTGTGAATAAGTTCTTTGACGGCGAGACGCCAAATTACAGTTCCTCGGCGGCGGTGAGATAGCGGCCGCAATATGACGTAACCGTCGTAAGAACAGGGAGCGGGTGGGGCCTGAAATGCGCTCGGGGAGGCTCGATCGCGCTGGATTTCATCGATTACAACCGATCAAACTGTCTGGCACGCTCCCTTCCTAGAGAGCA